CAATGGGCCAATAATATTTAATAGTACAAAGATACTTCAAAATGCGTATAAATGGATTATTACCCAAAACGTTTGACACATGCGTAGACATAATTCACGACTGGGTAATACATAATATATTATTACATACAGCTTACATAACTCTAAGTCATAAGAAAACGATATAATTTTATATAATATATTGTTTTGTTTTTCGTGAGCATTTTTCGAATGACAACGAAATACATTTTTAATTTAATAATTCAAAGTTTGATATTTGAATGAGAATTCCATTAAAATTCATATTATTTTACTACTGTCGTTCAAAAAAGTAAAACTTAAAAATTATAACGGAGAAAATATTAAAAAAGAAAATAAAGAAAAAATACAAAAAAAAAGTTTCGAAAAATGCTAAAAGTTTTCGAGAAAATCATGGTAATTTATATTGGAAATTATGCTAGACCACGTGGAATCTTTTTGATGTGTTTTGGTTTACTGGGCTGTCCTTCTGTATTATAGTTGCATTTCATATAGTAAATAATAAGGGRACTAACGTCGTTATGTGATATTAATATACTTACGTTATTGTTTCACCCAATCAGAATTGTTTTATTTTTACATTTTGTGGCAATTAAAAACAATATATTGGACATAACGTAAAATATAACGTATTACAAAGTGATAACTACGTACCTATAACGAATGACACGCTCTACGCAAACAGATTAAAGTTAAGCGCATTAATAGTATTATACAACCAGCGGTGATATACATACGCTTATATAGTAAGTACCGCAGTATAAGATTTTCTATACATACAGAATGTTAAAGAAATGCCTGACAAATAAAAATAAAAATTGATAAAATTAAAAGCTAGAAAAAAAATTATAAAAATTCTATAGACAGTGGATAATTTAACGTAATTTACTTCAAAATTAGAACAAAAGTAATTTCCTTTGACATGTTATTCTATTGCATCATACCATAATATAGAGTAATATTGCAACTCTAGATGTTGTATACCGGCTACCTATGCCATGAATTTATATAACCGCGCTCGATACCCATCACGTAATATACACATCTCGAAGTACCTACTATACAAACTCAACTTTGCTTTTTTTTCTACCAGAAAAAAAACTAGGACCTGGTGGGAACTGTTTAGCACAATACTGCCACCCAGCCCCATAACGATGCAACTTTGCCTAGGCAGGTAATATTATAAGGCACATAATATGCGATTTGGTGGTGTTGTATGCCAATAATAGTTATTGTCCACAAAGGCGTCTTCTTAATCCTCGCATCACACTCTCGACGATGGTCCATAACGATGAGCATTTGTTGCGCGCGCACACACACACACACACACACACAAACTTACTTATATAAGTAAGGCATTTATGGATTAACCCTTGAATTATCATAATATATAGATTTCGACACATGCTTCGATCAATGCTTATAGAAGCGTAGGGTGTACCTATATATAAGTATATAATTTTCATTAGGAGGTAAATCCGTTTGTAAATTATAAATTATAATTATAATAATAATACCCTGCTACGTAGAATGAACGTTTTTATTTACTAAGCAATAACTTAAGCATATAGTAATGATATTAAAAACGTTTTATTAGTTTCTCATCATAATTTCTCTTTTCCGCACATTTTCACTAGATTAATKACATCAAAACGAACATCTAATACGTCGCCTGAAATATTATTATTCTAATTAATTTTTAATTTTTAAAATAATATTGAAGAATTAGTTACAAATCTTTYTTTCCAAACTTATCGAGTACATAATGCAATATCAATGAGCCTAATAAATTGCAATGGAACTTTGTACTGCGAATGTTGCCCATACAAATTGGAATGCTTTTTTTGTAGATATTCGCACTTCCCAACCATTTATTTGTCTATATAAAAGTAAAATTMTCATAAATTATGTATAATATTGATCGATTATTATAGAATACTTACTAGTACACTCAATTTATCAGTGAATATAGATGTAGTTATGACTATGGGGTGCCAAAATAGAGCATAGATAAGTATCATAACCGTTGTCATAATATACAGCTATAAAAATATATATATGAAATTAAATTATAATAAACATATTTGAAAGAGTTAAATTTAAATTAAACTAGTATTTAATAAGTATAAATATTCATTTTTCGATCAAAATTACCTCTGCAAGAAATTGAATTATTCTATTTTTTGGTTTTGTATTGTACGGCCAAATATCACATTCGACTATAGATATTGCAGCTGCAGTCAAGAAAAGTACTGACGATTGGAAAAATTGACTATCAAATGGATAGATCTTCGGGCCAGTTTTGACCAATGGACAGGTTCGTATTTCTGATGAAAATATAATGTATATATATATAGTCAAGGCTATTAAACACAATTTTTGTGTAATTTTAAGCAATCCTTCATTTATGAAAATCGTCATTTTAGTAAATTAAAAGTATAATGTTTAGAACTGCTGATTATTTTGAAAATCAAATAATAAAAACTATATAATATTATGTAA